CCACGGCTATTCGTGGGACTTTGGGAGCGTGCAACCAGCTTTCCATCACAATCGGTGTCCTTCTCGCCTATGCTCTTGGGATGGCTTTCAGAACTGATGCCGGCTCTATTGATCCCAATGCTACCGACGGCACCTTCTGTCAGTGGCGTACTGTGAGTTGGATTTATTTGATTCCCAGTGCTCTATTGGGTATCTGTATGTTCTTCGTTCCGGAATCTCCTCGTTGGTTAGCTCAGCATAGTCGTGCTGACGATGCCAAGATGGTTCTATTGAGACTGAGAGGTTATGAGTCAGTTGAAGAGGATCCTGAGATCATGGAAGAAGTGAAGGCTTATGAGATATTAGCTGCCCATAATGCTAAGAACGCAAAGAACACCTGGAAGGAGAGTGCTTCCTGGGCTTCCAGTGCGCTTGGCCATTGCAAGATGCAGTTGTTCATTGGTATTGCTTTGCAAGTCCTCCAGCAGTTCTCCGGTATCAATTCCGTTATATTTTATCGAACAACTATCTTCCAGGCTGCTAGATTGGATAACAAAGAGGCTATGGCACTTGCTGTTATGGCTGCTCAAGTGGTTGTAACTCTAATTGCTTGCATCATCATGGATATCGCGGGAAGAAGAGTTCTTTTGGTAGCGGGTGCTGCTGGTATGTGTGTAGCAGCTATTCTACTGGGTGTATTCTTCCTCCTTGATGATCTTAATGATAACGATATCAGCTGGTTGGCTATCTTCTCCGCCTTCTTGTATATTGCTTCCTTCGCCATCGGTGTTGGTGCCATCCCATGGTTGATCATGGCTGAGATCTTTCCAAATGAAGTTAGGGGTCTCGCTGCATCTATCGCCACTGGCGTTCACTTTATCTGTTCTTGGATAGTCACCATGTTCTTAGATGACTATGGAGAGGCTATAACATACCAGGGTGTCTTCTGGAGTTTTGCCGTTGTTTGTCTTGTGACGGTCATCTTTGTTCTGTTGGTTGTTCCAGAGACAAAAGGCATGACCTTCGAACAGATTCAAAATTACTTCAGTAGAAAATATAGTGAGACTTTTGAAGCTTCCGTCAATGTAGATGTCGAGAAGGCTGTTTGTTCGCAGTGAGTATAGTACTGGCACTGAGGTAGTGCTATTTTCTCTTCAAGTATGTTCAATATGGCCTGTTCCTCGCTAAGATAGTGTACATATATTCATTCTATAGATCCGTTAACGGGCGACCAAAGGTATTTTTCATATCATAGGGTTGTTCCGATAGACTTCTTGAGATCTACTCCCAGCTTGTCATTGGATAAGTTACAAGGCTACCGAGGTGTTCTTGCTGTGTTATTAAATCAAGTTTTGATGGACGAAGATATCGTCGTTAATGCATGTTTGGTTTATGAGAAGAGTCATCGAGCAGGGGCCGTATGCGGATCCTGATTCATGAATCTGAGTTCATGATTCAACTCACGCTCTGATCCTGATTCAGAATTCAAGTCACACCTTGATTCGAGAGAGCTGATTCAGATTCTTAGCTTAGGAGAAAGAGTCGAGATTTCTGAGTATGAGTACTTGAGACAGAGTCAGATTACATAATCATGAGCAAGATCCTTGATCCTTGATTTTAATCAGCCGCTGAATCCGATTCCTGATCCTTAATCACGATTCAAGATTCAAATCTATACTCAATGGCTGATTCAGAGTTTTTGGCACTGAGACAGAGTATTTCATCAATTCGAGATCAAATCCTCAGGGTTGGGGTTTTTACTCGTGATTCGAGATTAATTCTCAGGAGTCGAGATTGTTTTACTCATGCTCAAGGCTGCTCAGATTCAAGATCGCAATCTCACCTTGAGCATGATCCGGGGATCATACTCATGATGCACAAACTCACAGTCTAACACGGGGAT